CCACCGTGACCACATAACAGTTCTGAATATCCACATACTTAGTATTGCCATGAATATGTTCGGCAGTCATGTTATAGGCCCTGCGCGTCACCTTTGCCCGCGCAAATGGATGATTGTCTTGAGGTGCGGCAGGCGATGAGAGGATCGCCCTGGCCCTGGCACGGGCTGAAGAGCAGCTCGGATCTGCTGCAGGTGCCGCAGGCGCCGCCGCCGTCACCGTCGCCTCCGGTGCCGCCGCCGCTGATGCACTCGACGCTGCATCTGGGGGTTGGGCTCCAGCGCTTCCTTTAGCTGCTTGATCAACGTCCACTTTCCTATTTTTTTCGAGGCGTTTCTTTTGCTCCTCATGCTCCGTCTTGAGTTCCTCGGCCCTTTGCTTGACCATCCCGAGCATGTTCTAGCCTGCTACGCAAACACGTTTTTAAGTTTGGCAATTCTCTTTTCGGCCTCATCTTTCTCGCATTGGGCTAAGCCAACATATTCATTGAGCCCGGACCGGCCCCCTGGATTGACGCCAATGAAATCCACTTTGCCCTCCATGATGTCACCCGGAGATACCGCGCCAGAGGATACTTGGGGCGCCTGCGCCTGAGGCGTGACACCCTGGGCACCTGCATGAAGTTCTTTGGTGGTCACTTTGTAAAGTTCTTCCTGTTCGTCCAACACTCGGGCAGTAGTTTGATCTGGCCCACACGGTACTCCAGCTGGCTTTTCACCTTCTTGGGTGCTTCCAATTGGTGATTGAGCTGCCTCTCCAAGTGCTATATCTGCTTGTGCGCCTTGTCTGCTTTATGCTTCGGTGAATGGGACTGTTGGTGACTTTCCCTCGTAAGGCTTCCAACTGTGCATTGTATGTTCCACATCTGCCGCGTGCCATGCTTTATAATGATTTGCAACGAGCTGCTCCAAGTCGGTCTCTGCAAGCTGGCCACCCCCACTGCTATCGACATTGAAGGGGGGCTCGACGTTGGTATTTCCGAAACCTGTGCCTGTTGCATTATTCTGTCCCCAGACTCAGCCCAGGGAGGGCTGGTTTGAAGTCGAAGAGTGGCACATCATCCCATCGAACGTCACAAATGCCAAATGCTTTTTGTTGCGGGCGCATCCACATTGGGAACATTTCCAACCACCAGAAGGTCTAGGAGCAGGAGCCATGGGCCAGCTGTACTGGTGTGGGAGGAAGCCGTTGTAGTATAAGTGAAAAAGTGGGGGGCAGATACCCCAATCTTTTACACAGAAAGCTGGTGGGGCGGCGCGTTTCCCTTTGCCACAATATTCTAGTCCCCTGAACCAATGCTACGGATTTGAGCTAAACTAGCTACGTACGCGACTCCTCTTCCTCCTCCTCCTCCTCCTCCTCCTCCTCCTCCTCCTCTTCCTCCTCCTCTGCTCCTGGCGGCCTCGGCGCTCGCCGCTTTATGGCCCGCCCCGCCCGCCCAAGGGACCCACCGCGAGCCCGCCAGGGACACGCTGTCCGCGCGGACGTAGGCGCTGGCGACGCGCCAGGCCACCGATGTCTGAAGGGCGATGCGGACCTCTTGCCAGAGGCCCGCTGCCAGCGCAGAGACCTTCGCTTCGCCGCCCGCCATGATGTCGAGCATGCGGATGGTCGCCTGGGCGCGTTCGCCGGGGCGGCCGTCGGTCCCCAGGACGCACGGGGATCTGTTCAGTCTCGCGTAGCGCCGCCGCTTGGTTCTCTCCTCTGCGGCGGCGCCCCGCCCCAGCTGGCCGCTGCCCAGACCCGAGGCGGGCCCGCGCGCCACGGCGACGTCGATGGAGACGCGCCGGCCGTGGTAGTTGAAAACGTCGTCCAGCACGTCAGCACGTCGGCCGGGTCGTCGTCGGCCGCTGCGTTTTCCAAAGCCGGCGCCCGCAAGGTCTCCAGGCGCCTCTGCTGGCGGAGTGCGCGGGGGTCGATTTCCGCCGTCACGAAGTGCCACAATGTGTCGCGGATCTCGTTGTGGCCCCCCACGACTCCGCCGCCGATTTTGCACCCTCTGCGTGCAATGGATCAGCAAACCCATACAGCTGCGCCCCGCAAACACCCCAGGGTTTGGAGTGGCGATTGTGCGTTTCCGCACATGCTGGGTAGACAATGTGCTCAACTGTGCACAGCAAGCGCCTGCGCATGGCCATCCGCCAGGCTCCATCTGCGATGGCGTTGGTGCCACGCTGTGGCACGCACAGGGAGCTCCCTGCTCCAGCGCCGCCTCCCTGCCACAGCCGCGCCCGGCAGGGGTCCTGAACTCCGTCGAAGACAAGCGCGCGTCCTGAGGGAGATCACGTCCATGAGGGCCTTCTGCAAGCGCTTAAGGGGCTCCTTCGTGAAGTCCAGCATCCAGCATGGGGTCGCCCACGAGCGCCGGCGCCCGGGTCGTCAAGTCAGCCCTCGCCTTCTCCAGTTCCGCCGCGAGCGCCGGGAAGGCAACGCGCAAGCCCTGCTCGGTGTCCAGCGGGACCCCCGCGCACTGCCGCCAGAGGTGCTCGCGCCAACCCGCGTGGAAAGCAGCTTCCGCCCGCGGCGCGGCCCTTCCGAAGGCGGCGCCGCCGTCACAGAGCGGCAGGTTACCAATGACGACTTACTCGCGCAGGAATCGAGGAATAAATCTCCCAAGTGCAGCCGCACCTGGCGGGTGCAGAGACCTTTCTACTTTCGCCGTCAAGGGCACAGCTTGGCGGCAATGCTGGCAGGCGTTTTTTGCCTTCGACACGTCGGAGGTACTCACTTCCAGGGTACAGCCCGGCGGCAATGCCAGTGGTCCTGCTCACCTACCCCACCTACGATGCAGCGTCCAGGACAGAGTTTTGTGGCACTGCTGGCGGTTCTCTTTAACTTCCATTCGAGACGTCGCGACCTCCAGGACAGCTTGTCGGCACTGTCGGCGGTCCTGCACACCTTCCTCACCTACGAGGCATGAGACCCAGGCCTTCCCAAGTGCCTTTCTTCGCTCCCTTCTGTCCTTGTTTCCCCCTCCCACCTCCTCCTTCACCGTCGGCGCCCCTCGCCTTTACACCCCCGCAGTCTTCTACCCCTGGTCGGGATCTGACGGTTAGCAACTGAGCGGCGGGCAGTTGTTGCGAGCCCCTCTCGTCTCCTAAACGGCCACACTCGCACTCGCCCTCCTCATGCGTTGGAGCTGGAGTTTCTATATATATATATATATATATAAAAAAAAAAAGTCGCACCTGGCGTGTGCAGAGACCCTCTAACTCCGTCGCGACCTCCAGGACACAGCCTGTCGGCACTGCCGGCGGTTTTTGGGGCAGTCTCAAGAGACAGGGGGCAGTGCAAACGGGGGTCAGTCAGAGCGCCAGATCTTGCAGGATCCTGCAAAGTCAAGGGTGCACTGACCTGGGCGTGCGAGCAGGATCTTACAGGATCCTGAAAGGCCCGACTGACCCGGGTTTGGATTGTCTTGGGTCAGTAGATCCCCGACGAGGCGTGTGAGGTTCTAGCCTCGAGGACACAGCCTGGCGGCAATGCTTGCGGCCTGGCACACCTTCCTCGCCTAACTACGAGGCATGAGATCGAGGCTTTTTCAAGTGCCTCTCCTCGCTCCGCTTCCTCTTGGTCGAACGACGGTATGTAACTGTTTTGCCCACGAGGATGCGTTGACCTATCATCCCCAGGGTGACGTTCCGCCCTACTGTGGCTCAAGTTCCCCCTGTCACCCGTAGGCCAGCGATCCGTCCTGCTGGGGAGCCGACCACCCGTCACCCCTAGAGTGGCGATGACTCCGCGTTGGAACAGGTCCCCCTTGGCACACCTAGGATGGAGAGATGTCCAGCTTCGGAGCGGGCCCCCCAGGTCCTCCCCAGGGAGGCGGCCCGCTCTTCTGTGTAGCAGGTCCCCCTGGCCCTCTACAGTGGCGACATTGGAGGCAACGGCGTGGGCCCTCCCCCCTTTCACCCTTGGGGAGGAGACCCGTTCTGCCTGAGAGCTGCCCGCCAGTGTCACCCCTAGGGTGGTGTTCCGCCCTGAGGTGGAGTAGGGCCCCCCTGTCACCCCTCGGTTGGCGTCCCGGCCTGCTGCAGAACAGGTTCTTCATGTTGCCATGTTGTGGAGCGGTCCCCGCCGTCACCACCAGGATGGCGATCTTTCATGTGGTAGAGCAGGCGGTGAGATACGCGTGATGACTTCTCACCTGCCATGTAGGCGGCGATACGAGCTACCGTAGAGCACACCCTCCCGTCAAACCTTAGGTGCCGAAAAAAGGTGGCTGTCTCGGAGCATGCTGACCCAACATACCGTCCACCAGTACCGAGTGCCAACAATGGTCTGTGCTGAAACTCTGGGACCAGAAGGATCGTCATCCCAAACTTTACGAGCACCGCTTCAAGGATGAGAGAGCCCATGTGCCCCACCCGACTGGACAGGATTACGCCTACCCTCAAGGCATCAGCAATACACTACAAGCCTCCGTCCTCCTCCTCCTTACCATCATCATCATCATCATGATCATCGCCATCGCCATCATCATCATCATCATCATCATCATCATCATCATCATCATCATCATCATCATCATCATCATCCGCATCAGCATCAGCATCAGCATCAGCATCAACAGCATCATCACCATCAGCATCGTCATCATCAGCATCATCATCATCATCGTCATCGTCATCATCATCATCATTATCATCATTATCATCATCAGTATCAGTACCATCATCATCATCAGCAGCATCACCACCATCATCATCATCGTCAACATCATCATCAGCATCATCATCAGCATCACCGTCATCAGCATCATCGCCACCATCAGCATCAGCATCAGCATCAGCAGCATCAGCATCAGCATCAGCATCAGCATCAGCATCAGCATCATCAGCATCATCATCATCATCATCATCATCATCATCATCATCATCCCTCCTCCGCCTCCTCATCCCTCCCCCTCCTCCCTCTCCTCTTCCCGCCTCTTTCTCCTCGCCTCCCTCGACCCTCGCAGTTCGAGCCTCGAACTTCGAGGATCGGCGGCCGGCCCGCGCAGGCGAGCGACGGAGGCGTCGGGTCGGAGGCCCTGCGCGGGCAGCACGACGGCAGCCATCCGCATGAGGCACGAAGGACGGGGGGTGAAGTCCGCTCACTTTCCTACTGCACCCTTTCTCCCGCAACTGTATTGGCTCAGGTATTGGCTAAAGGACAACGGTGCACTGCTGGCTGTGCAATGCACTGGAAAAGGAGTCCTACTCTTCGCCTCCTACCTACGGACCCCGTATAGGAACGGCCCTTCGGCCGTCTCCCTATACACACAGGTTATCAGCCTTTCCTTATCCGTTGTTTGCTGTTGCATGTCGCGTCATTTTGGATTCCGCCGCTTGATCTCCTCGACGGCGCACTCTCGCGACGGCGCCATGGAGAGGACAAGAGAAACTGTGATACCTATATCCCCTCTTTCAGGTGAAACCAGTGCTGCGTCATTCGCGGCTGCACTCGGCGAGCTCTTACCCGATTATCCGATGCTCCCGCCGCCCCCGCGTGCTCGCGCGCCTCGACCTTCGCGAAGACGGCTGGGTTCGCCTCCCGCGGCGCCTGATGCATCCGTGTCACGCCCGTCGGTGGCCGCACCCGCCGTTGCCCCGTCTGTCGTCGGAGCCGACGCTGTCTTCGCTACGCCTACTGCCACCCCGCCCACCTTCGCTGACACGAGCGCCGGTGGCAATGCTCTCGCGCGCAGCCGCCGCTGGGCCAAGGCCCCGTCGCCAACGCACGTCTCTGTGTCAGAACTTGCGCGGGCCATAGAGAATCGCACTGGACGGACGTTTCAGCGACAGGTTCCCGAAAGGTATCATTTTCGTTATCCCACTCGGCATGCCAGCCACAGCCCCTCTCAACGAAGCTCCCGGCACGGCTCTCAGCAGCGCAACCTTGTTGCGCAATCCCTTCCCGCTGCCAGTGACCTGGCAGAGCTCCGAGACCAGGTTGAAACTTACACGACCCAACAGCTATCGGGTCTGGCCGATCAGACGGCCACCATCAGACAGGAGCTGCGACATGCTCTTGCCTTGGTCGGCGCCAGGATCGCTGAGGATCGATCGATCATATCTTAGGTGCAATCCCAGGTCGACCAGATGGAGTCACACCGAGGTGCCGACTCCAGAACGATCCAGGCGCTTCACGACTACCTCTAACGGATGCAGGCACGCCTTTGCGGCCGTCAGGGATACACTTGCTGCTGCTGTCAGGACATTACTCGATGAGCTCTTGATGGCACGACAGACCCCACCTATGGAGGTACATGGACCCACGGACTCTCAGCTACGTGAGGACTTGGATACACTTCGCACCCAGGTCCAACTGCATGCTGCCACGATACACTCCACCCACACCACCCTCACGTCCGAGTTTGATGGTAAGCTGCGCGGTGCCGAGACGGCCTTCACTCACCGTCTGGAACCTTGCGAAGGACGCGCGGCAACGCTCGAGAACCGAGTCTCCCAGGTCGAGCAGCAGATCCCCGAACTACGGACTGCGCTGGCTGAGTTGCGTGTTGCACGGGCCCAGACTGATCAGCTGGGCACCCCGACTTCGGTTTACGATTTTGCCCCCCTCGAAGCCCGCATGGCCGAGGTGCAGCAGGCGGCGGACCGCGCGCAGATACGACTCACCCAGATCTCCCAGGAAAGAGACGCTGACAAAGCACGGGCCGACTCAATCCTAGCCCGTTTGGAACACGAGCGCGAAGCAGACAACCAACGACCCCGATACCTTGAGCGCAGGCTGGACAGGTATTCCCAGCGGACCCACGATACCAACGTCGAGTTACGTGGTCTTCATCAGAGTGGCCAACAGATGCAGCACAGCGCCAGGACCAACGAAGCTACACTGACCTCGCGCGTCAGCTACACTGAGCTCCACCAACCACCTCCAGACCATCGACCAGCTCCCACGCACGCCGATGGTGACATCCGCACAGGCCATGCACGACGTACATCGCCAGGCGCCGCCTCAGCCGCGGTCTCTGCGTGGACGCGTCACGTTTCTCCTTTTCGACCTCTTTCTCCAACGCAGCCGGTTCCCTCGCAGACGTTGTCACACGTCCCTGCTACTTCCGCGACTCCAATCAAGGAGTCCGGCACCGTGCGCGCACCACAACTGCCGCGCATTAGTGGCAACAGATGGCTCGCAACAACTTTGGCAGCGCTTCTGGGCGCCCTGCCAATGCCCATGCATTTCTACGCGTTGCAGAACAACCCACGACGACCAACGACGACCTTCAAGACAGCGGCACTTCGAAAGTATCGGCTGCAAACGCGCAGCCGGACTCACTGCTGTTCTGAATTCTGCACTGCGCTACCGCATCAAGAACCTCACAGCTCAGGGACACAAAGCCGGCCGCGTGCTCAAAGGCCGGCAAATCTACTGGACGATACCACAGTCCTACAAGGTCACCGCAGTCGACGACACCCTGCACGACTTTGAGCGTCTGCAATTATTACGCATGCGTGACGACGACTTCCAACTGTTCATTGTGGGCTGGGACAACCTATTATGGGAATGCCGCGAACCACCCGACGCGAAGATACTGGAGTCACTATCTCGAGCTCAGATACGACGACATTACCTGATGAAGCAGCACATACACGACTACAACAAAATGACCCCCACCGACCCTAATCGAACGCGCGAGTGACTTCGGCAACGCGTCTTGGACAACCTCGAACTACACACGAATCGAGCAGACACGACTCTGCGATTTGCGCAGCGTTCAAATCTGGGAGGCGCAAGAGTGGGGAAAGGTGCAAGATGTTACATACAAGTTCTAACAATCGCCCGACTACGCGACCAACTCAACGATCATCTACCCGCGATCGGGGCCACCGCGACAGACGGTCCTCTTATTGGTCGCTATGCTGCACCAGCGACGACAGACAAACCTCGGCAGAAATTCTGCTTTGCTGTCGCCAAGGCTGGATCCTGCCCTAAGGAAGATCGCTGCACATGCCCCCGCGCGCCAGCGTGCACATTCTACGCAGACCCGGAGCAAATCTGCAAGCACGGCGACCGGAGCCGCAACGCTCACATCAACCCCAATGCTAAGACTCTTGACCAGAGCCCCGTTCGGCAGCGCAGCAAAGACAGCCGAAACAGCGCGCCCTCCCCGCGACGCGCGGGGGGCAGGAGGCAGCCGCCCTACAAGGACCGACAGTGCCCCCGCAGCCCGGGGGGCGCACGTTGGTCACAACGAGGGTCGCCGTCTCCACAGCGCGGGGGGCGCTGCGACTCGGGATCTCCCGGGAGTCGCGGCTGACCACCCCGCCCTCCGCAGAGTTCACGTTCAACGTCTAGGGCTTCCCACCGGGGCTCTTCCCGTGGCCGCTCTCCCACCAGGGGCGACGGGACTAGCGGCCGTTCTCCATCCAGACATCGCAGCCGCTCACCGTCCACTCGCGATCGCGTTCAGTCACCTGCTGCAGGCCGATGCGATCGACGACGTGACCGCGCCGCTGTTTCTCGCGAGCGGATTATGACCCTGTCCATCTGGGCGAAGCGGGATATCATATTTGACCTTGACAACGCGGACATTACTACCAACACGGTAGAACACGACATGTAGAAATGGACGGAACCATCACATTGCAGAGGTGACAAGGTCGACGCTCCTGACGTCTTACTTGATTGGTGGTTGCAGGCCAGTGCGCGTGCGCTCCGCACGGCGCAGGAGGACGCCCAGCGGTTGCACGACGATCCCACAACACCGCCCGCTGCAACCCACGCGTCGGCGGCAACGCCTACACCGACGCCCATGCGGTCTACGGCAGCGCTATCGCGCACATGGAGATTGGACAGCGGCTCCGCCCATCACATCCAAGAAAAGTTTGACCTTCTACCGCGCGAGACCATTCGAGTACGGTAAGGGCGCGAACGCATCCTCGAGACAGCCGACGGCGACCGAGTCACCAACGAGCATATCAAGTTCACACTGCCGCAGATAGGCCTCTCCAGTTCGGCCCCGGCTATGACAGATTGCCCTGCGGCACTATCAGTGGGGCATTTGTCTCGGGAAGATGGTTTCAGACAGCTTTGGGGTCCTAATCTTGGCTACCTACTACAAGACCCTCGCGGTCAATGGCACAGAGTTCGCGCCACCGAACGAATCCCAGAGCGCGACACTCACAACCTGCAGAAGATTCCGCCCCCTGACCTACGTAGATGTTCCTGCATCGCGGTGCTCTTCGTGGTCATTGGCGCCCACTACACACGAGGACCAACCAGCGCAGGTGGCAGCGCCAGAACCGACGCCGCAGACAACTACGTGCGACCAAACAACAGGCTCTGGCGACTGAGCCGGCGGTCACACCTGCATTGCCAGGCAGACCACGTCCTCGCATCGATCCCTCGCACTACATCCCTCACAACCCAAAGCATCCATATTGAGATTTGTGCGCGGGTCCTGGTGCGCAGCGCGCCATGTCGGCGACGGCGCCCGCCTCGTGACCCTACCGCCGATGACATTCAATATGAATCACTTGTACCACAACAGTCCGGCGAGGCTCTGACTGCAGGCCGCGTCGGACTCGCGGCGGATGATGCAGCCGACAAGTACGGAGACACGTGCGCTCTGGTTGTGCTGGGCAAGTCTACGGGCGCAAATATGGCATGCCCAGCGAAGCATAAAGACGCCGAGACAATTAAGGCATCATTCCTGGAGTTCCTCGCGCCCAACGAAGAGGTCAAACATACTTGCATTGATAATTCTGGGGAACTGCAAAAAACATGCCCACAGTTGGGATGGCGACACGGCACCAGCGCGCCGCGCCAGCCACAGACCAACGGCGCGGCCGAGCGCGCGGTTAAGTCTGTCATACCGGGCACGAGAGCTGTATTCCACAGCTCAGGACATGGTCACGAATGATGGAAAGAAGCCATGCAGGCATGGCGTTGTGGCCGCAACTTCACAACCCGACCGCGTCATGGAGTTGCTGCAACCTTGGATGCATACGTCGACTTCTCTTCACACGAAGTTCACTTCGGAGACTCCTTCAAAGGACACCTAGTTCCATGTGGCATTCGTATCTTCTGGAAATGCCCCAACCCGGACCTCGAGAAGTCCGCGGCAAAGTTTGACGAGACTACTTGAGAGGGTTTGTCTATGGGTTACCACCTCCACTCTGGCGGGCGATGGTCTGGCGACTACCCCGCCATCGACGCCGCAACCTATGCCCAGAACCCTGACGGGGAACACTGCCACGTTCATCGCGTCAAGGACATTACGATTCCTGACGAGGGACCAGTTTGTCCTGTCCGCGAAGGGCTCCTACGACACCACAGCCCAGAGAAACGCGAGTTGATTTCGTTTCAAACCTCTCGGCCTTTGGGCGTCCCTGCACAGGGTGATCCACCTCTCCTGCACCCAGCAGAATGGGATGACCCCTGTC